AAACAATACAGCTATCATAGTTGTGACAGTAGTACACTTCTCAACTTATAGCTTGCGCTCTTAAATAATGGCTTCTCTGCATCCCCTCTGGTACATAACAACGTAAAAGAGCACGTCCGCTGGAATAAACTTCTTTATGTAAACATAACGGGGCCGTACCCCGTGCAGCAGGAACATGAATGCCATCCCCAATCTAACAAGGAAATGTCAGAAATTGAAGTGGCCAATTCAAGCAAGATGCATACATTAGATGCAGCATAAAATGCTGGCTCTAGATCTGTCTTCCCTATCTGCAGAACGCTTTTGTGGACAAAGTTATAAGCCGTTGAAGACCACTATTTCGCTAACAAGGAGAGGATACTTAGTCGAAAACGCCAATCCAGATTAGACATATATCGTCTTAAAGCGCTTGAAACGCTGATTCCAAATCTGCATTTTCTAGCTGCGGAACGGTTTTGTAAAGGGAGTTATGAGAGGTGTTTCCCTCTGGGGTCCATCCGCCCTCCACCATTTCTCCCCTACCTATAAGCACTGCAGAGGAGTACCAACTGGTGGCAACTGACCTAGTGGTAAGTGACGTGCTTGCTAAGGAGAGTGTCAAGGTTTTGATCCTCTTCGCATGCAACTTTATCGCAGTTTTTGCAAAATTAAGCTTCTAAATGGCTTTAAAGCTCTAAAGCCTGAAATTTTTGATGATATTGATGGTATAGAAGTGTCCAAGGTAATACGAGTATTATGATCCTTACTGTAATCTTCAGTCAAGTTAACCATGAGGCCAGTTGCCACCAGTTGGTACTCCTCTACAGTGCTTATAGGTAGGGGAGACATGGTGGAAGGGCGCCTCGACCCTAGAGGGAAACACCCTCATAACTCCCTCTATAAAACCGCTCCGCAGCTAGAAACTGCAGATTTGGAATCAGCGTTTCAAGCACTTTAAGACGATATATGTCTCATTTGGATTAGCGCTTTCGACTGAGTATCCTCTCCTTGTAAGAAATCGTGCGTGAGAAAGGCAAACTTGATTGTATAGAGCCATTGTCGGCTCAGTGCTAGACCAAGACATGCAACTAACAAGGAAAGGATACTCGGTGACCGTGGCCATTTGGAAGATGTATACCGTAAGATGCAACTCGAAACGCTGATTCCAAATCTGTGCTAGATATCTGCGAAACGATCACGTGAAGGAAGTTATGCACTTTTTTTCTTAAAAAATTTACGTATTTTGGAGTAGTTAAAAAGAGAATTTTGGAAGTGTTGTTGTAATTATATCTGTCTAAATCATACTCAGCATTTGAAAAAAAAAATTTCATTGATGATTTTGACCCTCCGCAGTAGCGCAATTTATTCATGAGAAAAATCATAACTCCATCTAGGCTATTGTTTCGCAGTTACCGAATGCAGTATTCGAACCAGCATCAAAAGGTGCATTTTTTGATATACATGTCATTATGAATGGCCACGCTCAGCAAGTATCCTGCCCTTGTAGGTCACTTCATATGACCCGTACCTAGAGGTGAGCTAAAAGGGCAACAATGTGCCTAATTTTGCAATTTTTGCGTACAATTTTTTCGCGGTAAAGCTGCTCATAACTTCGCCTACGAAGGCGTTCTACAGATATGAAAGACAGAATTGAAATCAGCGTTCTATGCTGCATCGAAAGGTATGCAGCTTGTCTGGATTGGACATTTCGACTTCTGACCATTTCCTGTAAGTAAGAGCACATCAAGGATCGCCTTCGTCGCCATTTCTCTTCATATTGAGCATAAATATCGACATTCAGTTGTCGCATCCGTGGACACTCCTCCATGCGGATAACGTTAAAGGCAGTGTCTCGGCAAAACTCCAATTCAATTTTAACGCGGTAGACTCCTTATTGCCCAAGTAAACAGTGCAATCCCGGTTGAACAGCATGACTTCCTTGCCGAGAAAATTGCTCTCAAACTTACATGCGCAGGCCATTCCTACACGCATCTGGACGAGTTGACAATTTCCTTCTCACCATTGAAGGCTGCCCGCCGCAATGCTATAACCATTGGGTCCTGCAACGATTCGGCGTCATCAGCATTGCAGCACTCGTCCAATTCCAAAGGGAAGGGCATTGGAAAACGCTCGTTTTCGGCACTTTCAAGCTCTCAAAAGTGGATTTTCGGAATCAGCGTATTGAATAACCCCAGGTAAGCGAAAATTTGAATATGTTGAGATTTGCCGAGCCACTGCCTTCAAGCTACTAAGCGAATCGAGGCAGGAGCTTGAAGAGGCAAGCATGAGGTGGGAAAAGTGTCTATCCGAGTAAGGCTTGCGACTCAACGTCGAAAAGATTGAGTACCTGGAATGTCGGGGGCAAACCGATGACAATCACCATTGACAGACAGCCGCTGAAGAAAGTCACCACTTCAAACACTTGGGTGTGTGTCAAGAGGAGCGACTGTTATTGCCAGATAGACACCAAATAGCGCATTTTTAGTACTTTATGTTCTAGCGGCAGTTCAAATTTCTAACAAGATTTGTATGAATCGTCCCACGGGTTGCTTGATCTTATCATCTCAAAATAAGTTTGAAACATAAGTGTTGGAAGCCAAGAACCCGTGAAAATGCGACTAATGGAGTTTTCGTGAATATTTCAATCAAGTTTTCACCAAAAGCCGTCAAACTTAGCAAGTTTCAGATTCAGATGATTAGTAAGCTAGAGCACTTTGTGTGGTATTTTTGAAAAACTCGCACAGCTCTAAATCGAGCTGTTAATTTGGTGACCTCCGGGAAAATCGGGCCTCTTGACCGTCTCCCACGAACACCGATGTGCGGCACATTTTCGGAGTCGCTCCGATCGCGGACAAAACGCGTGGAGCAAGATTACAATGGTATAGTCACGTTTTAAGAAGTGATGACGATACCCTAGCATTTTACAGAATAGATCACGCGGCCGGCCGAACCAGTGTTGCTTGGACATGATTCGAAGAGACCCGTACGTGCCAAACCTCATATAGTCGTCCTCACCCCACGAGTCGCCAAGTGGGCGATCGTTGACCCGGAGCAGGCCGGTCGCGGCGGAGCGCGGCACCTTAGCCCTCAGTTCAAATTTACGTATGTTTCTTCGCCGTTTTTCTCGGTACTCGTCCGTTTTTTGTTTGATATAAGGTAAATTCGCTAGCGAAATTGACCACTTTGTTGTTGTCGAGCGTTGTTTGGGTGGAGGACTATATGTCGCCGAAAAAGGGCGGTCCCCGCGGTCATTTGCGACAAATACGCACTCTTGTACATGCGCGGACATGCGTTCCTGCAGGGAATCCGCGCGGGACTCTTCCAAATTCGGCGACATATAGTCCTCCACCCGCGTTGTTTCGTTCTGCTATGCTTGTTACTTCAACTCTGTATATAGGTAAGCTTGAAGAAACGACATAGATGGGACATTTTTGCTCTAGGTCCTTTCTTTGTAAGTGACATGTGCAAAAGCGTTGCTCTAGTAAATTATACGTCACAAATTCGCCATCTGCATCGTTCCTCTAGTGGCCAGAAACGACGCTTGACAAAAATAAAGTGTCAGTTGTCTTAAAGAACATTGCCAGAATCAGCGAATAACCAAGCAACGGGAAGAAAAGGGCGGAAAAGGATTACGAAGATTTGAACTGAGGGCTGAGGTGCCGTGCCCCGCCGCGACCGGCTTGCTCCAATTTAAATTCGAATTCGCCCACCGGGTGACTAGTGAGGTGAGGACGACTATACCATTAGAAGCAGCCGCGAGTCGATTGTAAATCACGATGCATGGGTGGAGGAACGAACACCTCAATTAGGTGTCGCCTCCGCGGCACTGGTCCCAACACGATGCACAACAGTAGGAGGAAAGGACCAGCCCGCGAAGGCGATGCTTCATTGAGGCGTTCGTTCCTCTACCCACGATGCATCACCGCTGACCCTGTCACCGCGGGACAATAGCAGAGATAAAGAAGAGCAGAGGGGGGGGGGGGGGGTGCTGCCCATCAACCTGGCGATATGGAAACACAGCGCTTGAAACTATTGGAACGCCCATAGGTTGTCGGTGTTCGTGATGTTCGCGGTTGTCGGGGTCAGAGACAGTTTAGAGAGCGCGCGAAACGTGAAGGCTATCATGAGGTCCTAACGACCGACAACCTCGGCAACCCCGACAACACCGACGACACCGCGATCACCGACAACCTATGGCCGTTCCCTAGACTGCAAATTACCTTGGAACGTAAATTCTCATAATTATATCCAAAAATATCAACATATACTTAATCAGAGCCTAGGGGATCGTTCATACCGCGCACAAAGGCGGACGAAGCCGGACAAAGCCGGACGAAGGCCGACGAAGCCGCACAAAGGCGGACGAAAGCATGTGTGAGTATGTGTGTGTCGAGAGAAACGAGACGAGACAAGACGCGCCTTCGTCCGCCTTTGTCCGGCTTCGTCCGCCTTTGTCCGGCTTCGTCCGCCTTCGTCCGGCTTCGTCCGCCTTTGTGCGCGGTATGAACGATCCCTAACATACCGTCCAGTGGGTGGGTAGGGCTGCCTTTGCCGCTTCCACTCTCTGCAACATTTCGCTTCTGAAGACAGCTTCTGCAGCAGGACTTGGTGGTATTGTTGAGGGTATCGCTACTGTACCGCGCCGCCACAGACCCCAGTTATGGTGAACAGTGAAACAGTGACAGTGCTTGCCAGTTCGAGTCGAATTTTCATTTTTTGTTTGCATTCATGTCAATATTCAACAAGATTGCGACTGAAACATGCTGACTAGCGCAATCGTATGATTATTCAGCAAACAAGGGAACTATCGACCCCATAATCAGGCAACACATCGGACGCAGAGAATCGACAGGATGAAATGATGAAAGAGCAGAAAGACTGAACAGCGCGTTCTTTTTGATACAGTAGCACACCCACAACTGATGTTATTACGAGTCTCTACAGAATTGTATCCACTATTCATAAGCAACAAAATTCTATATAATTTATAACCAAAACGATTTATTCATAACAATAACAAATTACTCGTCATCTCCTGACGCTTCACCTCCTTCAGCTTTCTTCATGTTGCGTCTCTTTACACGTCCTGGGCGGCCGCCTCCGAAGGGTGATTTGAGTGAGAAGTCGATGTGTTTCTGCGAGTCAAGACGGACGATGAAGGATGGTACGTCTACTACTTGGCGGCGAACACTGAAAATGAAGTTGTGAATTGTTGATTTGTTGATTGTTGTTGTTGATTCACGTAGTTTATGCATGAAACAAGTACTTCCATAATTCAATTTGAAACTCAATGTTCGTTCTTTGCAAAAAAAAACTCCGCTTGACGCTTTGAAGTCGCCAGTCGTTTACTGTAGCTGAAGTGGATTAAGCGGATCAAGTATGGCGGGTGCCTAAGTGCAGCTACTGGCAAAACTATGATGATGTTACATACGAACGGCTCCACAAACGGATTTTGCTGTGCAAATTTTTCCAGGCGAGTTACGGAAGCTATAAACGGGTCATATACAAATGCGGCAAATCGGATTCCTATAAAGCCGGGGAAAACCCCTGCACCCGCGCGCGCATTCTCACATTTTCGTTTCTTGATCCTGATGGGGACATATCAAAAAACAATATATCAAAAACATATGGGGAATATCGGAGTGAAAGGGACTCGAAATCAATATGCTAGAAACAGCACACTCAGCACTGTGCAAGTATAGTCTGTGCCTTTGGATTCTACCCATAAGTATCGTGAGCCGATCGTTTGCTGCCTTTGGAACGTAGAGGAACATTAAATGCAGTGTCCAGGCAGATCTGGACCTCTTGAGATTTTTACTGGAAAGTGCAGTACTTTTGGGGTCCTAACTAAGGCACTGCTCAAGCGGCAGCGCAGGAAGTGCTCTAACGGCTGAAATATTCCCCTCGAAATTGGACCCCGCGATCGTATTCGCATGGATTCATGGCTGTTTCGCCCAGGACACACGCTTTGCGCCATAAATCCATGCGAAATACGATCGCGGGTCGAGTGTGGAGGCGAATATCTCAGCTGTTAGAACACTATCTGAGCTGCCAGTTGGGCAGTGGCTTAGTTAGGACCCCAAAATTACTATCCACGTGAGATCCCCATGTGTCCAGACTTGCCTGGACGCTGCCTTTAGGGTCGAATTCCTTTCCAAAAATAAGCGTATAGGCGGCGCAAAAGCGCGCGACAGAGAATGGAATGAACTACAAATCTACTCCTTTTCAAAGATGATCATACACAAAAAAGTAATGATAAACTCTCCTTATAATATCAAACAAGCTTCTGCTATTTTTGGAACAAAGAGAGTATAAGACGCGAAAGCTCCAGAAAATAAGATTTCCAGAGTAAGGGTCATCATACTTCGCCGAAAAAAAGCTCAAAAGCGCCCAAAAAAGCTCTAACGCCCTAAAAAAGCCCAAAAGCGCCAGAACGAGAACATCGTTGACAATATCGGTCGTTGAGGAAGCCTCAGTACCTAACGAACAGGAGTTCGAGGGCAGACGGTCAAGAGGAGCGATTTCTCCAGGGGTCACCAATAAACAGCAGTTTGGAGCTATGCGATTCTTGAAAACTCTCAGACAAAGTGCTCTACCTTACTAATTATCCGAAGTACCATCTAAGTTTGACGGCTTCTGATATATATCTAATCGAAATAATCACGAAATTATAATTAGTTGCGTTTTCGCTGGTTTCTGACCTTCACCATCCAAGTTTTGAATCTGTTCCAAGATATAAGGTTAAACCGTCCCGGAAACGATCTTGCATATCCCTTCAGAAATCAGAAGTCTTTTGAAACCTTTTTGAACGCTAAAAATGCGCTAATTAGTGCCCATGTGGTAAAAATCGCGCCTCTTGACATATAATGCGAGAGTTCGAGGAGTCCGAGTTCGAAATGCAAACACTTGCTTGAACTTTCAGTAATAAGGAATACACCGCCATGCTCGTGAGCTTTTGGCATCAATTCCTAGGAAAAGTTTGAACTAGACAAACAGCTAGAAGGACTAATCAGAATATCACGACAAAGACACAAAATCGGCTGCATCAGAAGCTAAAATAACATGCGGATTCCTAGAAACTACGGTTGCCAAGTCACACTGATCTCTTTCATCCGGGTTGGAACATTTGGTAAAACTCGACATTATTTTGATGGGCAGACGAGAAAACGACGAAAGAAAATGGTTGCGAAATCAACACACATGCCGTAGCGCCAAAACTTGCCGTGAAATGGGGCGATCCGGCTCTTTCTGGCGCTTTTGGGCTTTTTTTGAGAGCTTTTGTGGGTTTTTTTTTCGGCGAATATGACGGGTCCCTCTAGAAACCCCCAAAATCTGACGAGAAGCGCCATTCTAGATTTAAGAATTCTCACAAATGGACCAACCCTTCGGAGGCCCGCAGCAAAATAATCATGCAAAACAAGAAAAAAAAGGAAAGATACGACAATACATAAATTGCTCACCGAATGTGGCTATGTCTGATTAGGACACGGGCGTGATGAATGGATTTTGCCAATCCCAACTTGAAAACCTGCGTCTGCAAACGTCTCTCGAGGAAATCTTCCACGCGAAGACCGAGAATGTAATCGAGCTTCATTCGATCCTCAGGAAGCACTCCAATACGTACAAGACGGCGAAGAAGAGCATTTCCTTCGAAAAGTCGTTTGGGATCCTTTTCTTCCAATGTGAGCAACTCTCGAGCAGCCTTGCGCACCTTTGCCAGTGTGTACTTTACGCGCCAAACTTCACGTTTGTTCTTCAAACCGAACTCTCCAATGAGTTTTAGCTCCTGAATAATTTTAAGATATCGGCGATGGCAAAATATATAGGTACACCCTCAAAAATATCGTAGTCGTAAAGGGCGGAAGGGTTGCCATTAGAATGTGTCTGCGAAAAGTTACGCGTATTTCAAGGTTTTTCAGCGATAGCCTGAAGAGTTGTATCTTACGATCATTCCCCAAAAAAGTAATCATTTCTTTCTCGAGCGCAGGAAATCAACAAAATATCAGGTAACTGTATATAAGACTTTAGAATCACAAAGGCAGAAAAGAGGGATTTACCAAAGCGGAACCCAATATTTACAAACATCTTAGTGTCTATCAAATAAAAATTTTAATGAAACTTTTTTCTCTTCAATCAAAGTACGTAGGAATAAAACACGAGCTAAATCTCTAGGTTGCTTTTAGATTAAAATCTCCAAGGAAAAGACGAACGGAGATGGAAGATTTTCACTCACTAAGTGTAAAAGAATGAAAAGAGGAAAGTTAGCAAATCCATCAGCATACGAATTATACCAGAAAAATGAAGCTGACGCAAAATGAACTTTTCTCTGACAAAATTTGGAACCCCTGCCGAACATAGAATGTGAAAACGTCGTTACCTGGTCAAGACGCTCCTTCTCAAAAGGACGACGTGGAGCCTTCGTAACCTTCGAATGCACAGTCTTGATCCGAGGCATGGTTGACCCTACAGAGAAGCAATGACATATGGAGAACTTAAAATATAACTCGAATCATTTCACGAAACGAGCAGTGATAAACACGAGGGGTCGATAAATCACAGAGTGGATAGATCTTTCATCATTATTAAAGTGACGCAAGGCAGTGCAAGAGTAAAGCATCGTCACTGGTGAAAAGTGCCAAAAGTTCTGACCAACTATTCGCAAGAATGCAACAGATAAATGCGAGATTTCTAATTCTGAGTCTCAAGAAGTAAACTTGAAAAAGTCTGGAGGAATTGCCTGACCTTAATCACGGATATCACACTAATTTCGCAAGGCTCATTTCAAGAATGCGGCGGGCATAGGCAGAAGAATAAAAATACATCGTTGAGTAGCAGCTAAAAGGACCTTGTTCTTAAACTGCGGAGAGAGCAGGCTAGGATATGTCACCGCTTCAACAACGCAAAATATTCTTTAGTGACAACCTACCTCGAGCTTTCGAGCAAGCTTCATCAATCTAACGCATCGTCCCGGAAAACGGGGGGCACGCGTTATGGAGCAAAGCTACGCCGCATTCCCCTGCGGTATATCCTGAGGGCCATTTGCGTTGCGTCGTCTTTAATTGCAGCTGCGGGAGTAGGCTGCTCATGCCAGCGGATTGAGCCATTCCCTACTACTACGATCTAATATGTTCAAATTGTATAAATGCAATAAAGAAAACAAAGAAGGCTGCAATTTGAAAAATTAAAAGAAATATAGATGGATCTCAGGGATGTTTGAAAGGCTGACTGATATATCCAATGCGCTGGATTTGAGTTAAAAGTGTTCAAGAAGTGGAACACGACAATTAGTAGAGAAAATGTAGAGGTTTTCCGCCAATAACTTTCCAAGAGAAATCCATCTTTTACTTTCTCTTGGTTTGCTTGCAGACGCTTCTTCCTCATATTCTAAATTTAATTCGCCCTTGAAATGCGTTTATCATCCGCATTTTGATCTCTTTATCTATGGAAAATATGGGGAATGGCTTCAGTCCGCTGGGTAGCGCTAGCTCCTTTGCGACTGCGATCAGGAGCGATGCAGCGCAAAGGGCCCTCAGGATATACCATAGGCAAATGCGGCATAGCTTTGCTCCATAACGCGGCGCCGCCCCGGAAAACCGTGCTAGGCACAAAATAAAAATAAAATTTTCCCCAACCAAATTTCTGCCACATTTATGACTTTGACCCCTACAAATTATCCCACCATCTAATAGCAACTTTCTTTATCTTGCTCGAAAATAGACGAGAATCGCGGAGACCAAACTTCTATTAATGGACAACTCACTCACAACAAAAGACTAAAGCGTACGCCTTCCAAGAAAAGTTTTATGCCTTCTGAGTATTCTACGTCCCAAACCTCCATGAATCAAGTAAGCTCAGCATTTCAAAGTTGCCCAAGCCCTCCAGCAGGGGAGGCAGTAATCTCTAGAGGAAAAAACGAAGGCGGAGACGCTCGATCCATGCCAGAGCAAGTGAACGATGAAACATCGATGTAAAAGGAAGTGGAATGTAAAGATGGAAAGCACAAAGAATCATTAAAACCGTAAGCATCGAAAAAAAGCGAATCAATTTAAGATGAGAGCAATGAGAAAACAGTACTAGACCCAGCACGAATCCACATCGCTCGTACCTTAGCTGACAAATTCTATGGAATAAGCCAGGTATGTCGACCTCGAAAAAGCTTGATTACGTCCAATATGACGCATTTTCAAACAAAATTTAGTAAATTCAATGGGAATCCAAAGAATGCGAAGCCGGGAATGTTGCGTGGTACGGTAGTAGTCGCACTGAGACCACGTCCAACGAATATGGCATGACCTTTATGCAGTTGGCCGTTTGCAGCATGAATCCTTGATTTCTCTTGTTTTTCTGTTTGTTAGCAAATCTAAGGGATCGGCCATACTATTCCTGTGATTCCTACAATCCCTGCGATTCCCGTGATTCCTGCGAGTCCCATGACAGTGTATGTTGCGAAAAACAATGTATACTGAAGTTCGCAAAGTGCTCCGTGTGCGGCACATCGGAATTCGAGGAATCACAGGAATTTTAGGAATTACAGGAATCGCAGGAATCACCTCCTGGAATATTATGGCCGGTCTCTAAAGGTTGTGTAGATCAGTGAGTTTTTTTTAGATGGATTTACCTGATCCGTATCTTCCTGGTGCCATCAGTCTATTCGAGCAACTAGACAAGAAACTTATCGTTGTTCTGCGAGATGGACGGAAGTTGATCGGATACTTGAAATCCATAGATCAATTTGCTAACCTTATTTTGGAAGATGTGGTTGAGCGGACATTTGTTGGCAAGTACTACTGCGACATCAATCAAGGCTTCCTTTTGATCCGAGGAGAAAATGTTGAAATCGCAGGAGAAATAGACGAAAGCATTCCTATGATTTACGAACAGGTTGGTTTGTAAGTTTTACTCAGTGGTAATTGCCGAATAGGTGGAATTTTTCGTTATTTATTTTATCTAACATTTCTTATAATAGTCTCTTATGGCTAGGATGTTTTGGTAGTTTTCTCTTTTCCTTGCCGTTGCAACTTCAAGCCATGGTTTGAAGTTCGTCACTGCTCCTTTTGATGAACTTCTCCTGGCTATCATGATGTTGCGCATGAACTGTGTTCAGCGACCTCTTGGCTCTGTGAAAGACTGGGTGTGGGTTTTTCAGAAATGCAGAAGTAAGGAACAATCCAAGTAGATGGAGATTTATGCTGAAAAAGTAGCCGAGTCATTTACAAAGAAGATTCCAACAAGATTTTGTTTCCAACCAAACCCTCAAATTGGGGTTTTATTTGAAAAGCCTTATATTTTGGACGGAGCAAGCTGTCTCAAGCGTGCGGTAGCAAGTTGCACTGACCACAACGTCTCCAATGTATTTGGAGTGTAGATCCCAAGTTTAGTACTGTATCAGAGCAATAGTATTTTTTCTGGTTCTTATCATTTATCACCCTTTTTCTTCTACCGCATGCTTCATGGCACTTCTTTTTTTGCGATAGGGATGGTCATAAAGCGAAATAGATAACTATGAGAGAAATTTTAAAAATCATTCGTATAGGCATTATTCGCAAAAAACTTGTAGCACTTTCTGACATATCAAGAAAGTATACCGATTTTGGCACCATAAAAGGATACAAAGGACATTTGGAGGAAAGCTGGCGGCTGGACGATTACTGTGTAGGAATTTTCGCTGCGAAACACTGTTCGATAATGGGAATTGCGAGATTGACGTCTGAATTCATGCTGTCTGGGATTTGCCTGAAACTGGGTTCAGATTCCGATCAACATGATGAAAAATGATGCATCTGCCTTTTGCAGATATCAAGACGATGCTGTTTCCGCATCCCTCTGGAAAAAGCGAAAAATCCCAGGTTCTATTTGCTCGCTTAGAAAGAGGTTTAACTTGCTGGTAACGAAGACAGTATAAATCGACTTTACGTATTAGGTTCTGCTCATTATGCAGGATGCAGGATCTTCTTGTGGGTTGTTAGTCAGTTGTGAGGGATTGTGCACACTAGATTTTGTGAGCGCGAATAACGAGTATATACTTGATTCAACTGCCTCGAAAAGTGCTGTATAACCACGATTAGCATATTGAGTGACTTTCCAAACTATTTTGGAGCAAAATTCGTTTTCACCGTGGGCCCAGGCACAGACTGGACCTCAAATGGATGGTCGAGCTCGGTCTCCATGCGTTTTACTCGCCCTCTTTCCCAATTATGAAAGATTGCTGAAAATTAGTTCACAATCTCGGGCATACCACACACTTGAGCTGATTAATATTCTCTCTCTCTCCTCCTGTTCCGAAAAAAAAGTTCCTGAGGGTGCCACCAATATGTGGATATGACGGAATTATACAATTGTATGTATGATCTTATAGTGAGATTTCAATGACAAGTTTCTGGTTCATCTTATTGGATGTCATACTAGTGATAAGATTATCGATGCAGAAGTAAAAGAGGGAAAAATTAATATCGTGGCCCCCACTTCTTTTTTTTCGGTCACTGTGGTTGATCATTGTTAAACGAGCGGTCTATCGCACCAATAAAACTCAAATACTTGCTGTGGTGGTATTCCGATTAAAAAAATCGACGCAAAATACCAATAATCCTCCGTTTTTTTTTTCAGGTATCCGTGGAAGAAATTCAGAAAATTGAAGAAAGTCTAGCCGCGTCAAACTCGAAGGCTCCCGTCGCTACGAACAACAAGCTGAAAGATGATGCTGATGATGGTTTTTAGGGCCAGTTTTGCATGCTAGCGAGATATTCTAATAGTGTTTTCCCACTTCAGAGTTCAACCGCTTTGCTCTAACTGTTTCTTCGAAATGTGCATTTTATCATATCTGATTATGGGTATTATACTGGTTGCAACCAATGAATATGTACATAGAGTGAAGTTCTTTGCTTTGACGAGTTCAGTCTCAGTTATATAAGTAGTACTCTTGCGTGATTTTCACATTTGATTTGCCACAATCTAGCAACTATGTGCGAATAACCACAGATGTGGATTTCATGATATAGTGAACTTTGCACGAAAGCATTCTCTGGCATCCATTCTCTGAAAAGGCAGAAGTTTCCAGTTTCTTTTCATCACATTTTGCAATCCCGTTACATCCCATGGTTTCTATAGCAACGCTTACAACACTTAGCTTAGCTCAAAAACGTTGCCGAATGTCGCGTCTAGAATCTCAAACATCTTAACTCACCTGGGTTATCATTTTCGTACTGTTATATAGTGAACAAATTGGGGTTTTGTGCATCCCTTCTCAAAACCTGCGCCACTAGTGACCATTTATCCTTCTTTCTCATGTAATGCAGTTTGATATTCTCTAGTAGAATTTAGAACCTAAACCAACTGTTATCTTGCTTTAACGACAGCCTTGCTGCTCAAATTCTTGTATGTAGACTAGGTTACGTTTCATTCGATTCTTTTCTTTGATAGCTCCTTCAAGGTGACGGCGGTTAGCACAACAAATAGAAAAATAGTCGGTGAGAGTATTCACACGGTCTCGACAGTCACTTATCTATCATCAGTGAAGTGTCGTTTTTCTGCGACTGTGGTTGCAGCTGATAAGACAAAAGTTTGCGCTCGCTAATTACTTGTCAGTTACGCAGTCCTTAAACCATTTTAGATCATTTTGAATTGCACTTCTGTATCGATGATTCATTGATATTCTATGAGACAGTAGAGCTTCTGAGGTTTCCTATTTGGATCGAAACCTCTATGGTTCAAAACACATTTTTCCTTTTGACTTCAATATCTACTAATTTACAAAATAGCTCACTTCAATGCCACATATTTCCTATGAAAAAAAAAACGAAGATCGCGAATGCCAAAGACCATTCGGAGCAAATCGTGCATGTACTGTCACTTTCCATGTTGTGATTCACTTATCTCGCAAAAAATCAGGATCAATAGTGCAAATATTCGATTAGGTTGTGCGATTCTCGCCCGACCTGAAACTCCTGCGAATCTGTCCGTACGTGAGCCACAGCCACTGGAACGTTCTCTTACTTGATACTCTTCTGCTTCCACAATAGGGTCGAGTCAGTTTAAGCATCAATTCAGTGCTGTGCTTTCTAATCTATTTACAGTGTTCTTTTTCGAGTCACGAAGCTTCATATAAAGAAATTCATCTTTGTGCTTTTGTGGCACTGGTGAAAATCGAGTAGTGCAGGAGAAGATCCTCTTTGAGGTCTGCATGTGAAGATTTTCCCGTGGAGCTGATGAGTTCAGTTGATGCGTTCTTACGTGAAATCAACGTCGTTGCATCAAAGCGGCGGCATTATAGAATACTAGCTGGCTTACCCGGCTCCGCCGTATCCGGACCAAACTTTGCACACATACACTTCGGGTCCCGGCGGGTGTCACAGTCCACTTTTCGTTATCGATCGATGTCGATTTTACCGATTTTTATCGATTTTTTTGCAGAGTTCACCTACAGGGCTAGGAGTTGGCAAGGGGGGGAAGTGAGCATGGGGATTCCGAACACAATATTGGTTTTCAGGATTATCGATTACTTTTATTGATTTTATCGATTTTTTGTAAATTTTGACATGCGAGGCTGGGATTTTGCACAGGGGGTAATCGAGCATGCTGATTACGAACACAATATTAGTTTTCAGGATCGTCCCTTACTTTTATCGATTTTATCGATTTTTTTGTAAAGTTTGACCTGCGGGGCTGGGAGTTTGCACAGGAGGGTAATCGAGCATGCAGATTACGAATACAATGTTAGTTTTCAAGATCGTCCATTACTTTTATCGATTTTATCGATTTTTTGAAAATTTGAGCTAGGGGGCTGGAATTTGGCACAGGGGTGTAATCGAGCATGCTGCTCACCCCCCTTGGGGATGATCAGCATGCTCGATTACCCCCCTGTGCCAACTCCCAGCCCCCTAGCTCAAACTTTGCAAAAAAATCGATAAAATCGATAAAAGTAATCGATAATCCCGAAAACCAATATTGTATTCGGAATTCCCATGCTCGATTACCCCCCTGTGCGAACTCCCAGCCCCGTAGCTCAAACTTTGCAAAAAATCGATAAAATCGATAAAAGTAATCGATAATCCTGAAAACCAATATTGTATTCGGAATTCCCATGCTCGATTACCCCCCTGTGCCAGCTCCCAGCCCCGTAGCTCAAACTTTGCAAAAAAATCGATAAAATCGATAAAAGTAATCGATAATCCTGAAAACCAATATTTTGTTCGGAATCCCCATGCTCGATTACCCCCTGTGCCAACTCCCAGCCCCGTAGGTGAACTCAGCAAAAAAATCGATAAAATCGATATCGATCGATGACGAAAAGTAGCCTATGACACCCACCGGGGCCCGTAGTGTATGTGTGCCAAGTTTGGTCCGGATCGGTTCAGAAATGGAATTTTCTATTCGGAACATACGTACAGACATACATACAGACAGACAGACAGACAGACATACAGACAGACAAACAGACATTCAGCTTTATATATAAGATGCTCTGCGCCATGTTAAAGGCACCATCCACCTAAATCGAGGGTAATGAGATTTTGATGTTATACAATGGTGGGGCCCCTAATTAAGCAGCCATCCAAGTCTCGTTGCAAAAGATGAATTCCATAGCAAGAAAATCGCTTCAAAAAGCAGAAGCGATCACGCTGGCTCCGCCCGTCATGGATGGTCTGAAGAAACAATCCAGAACTTGTTCTTCAGGATAGACAGAAAAGTCGCAAATTTGTTGATCATAATGAAGGGCGGGTCTATGATATTTCTGGATAGATTTGAACCCAAATTTGTACTTGTTCCCTTCGTCAATTCTTACGTTGGTGGGCGAGGCCGGAGTGACCTTTTCTGCTTGTGGAGCGGTTTTCTCACTTGAAAATCTTTTGCATCAAAGCTTGGGTAGTTATTTGGTTAGGAGCCCCATCCTATGGCATCAAAACCTCATCACTCTCACTTTGGGTGGATGGTGCCTTCAAAATTCTTTGGCCAGAACTCTAAGGAGCGACCGGTAGATGGAACAGGCGCTTGTCTGCTCCACGCTCTAGCTAGTCTTTTTGAAACTGGGCATGACGCCACCACATATGAAAACTCGAGAATCTACATAAGCTAACTCGTGGCAACTTCGCGGCACTGATCTGTTTTAGGTGTTTAGTTCGTAGCACAAAACGCTTGTAGACAACTCGAAATTTTCTCCTCCGATGTTCTATCCATTTTTCGAGTTTACTTCATTTCTTGAGTATCTTTACATTGAATGGAAGACTTTCTCAAAAATCATTGCAGATCCTCCCAGGAAATACTGACTTTTTTAACAAAATTGCATATTCAAAAATATGAAACAGAAAAGAAAATAGCCTAAATAAGGCCAGCAATATAAAAAATGCCTTTGCATGGATTATTAGGAAATGATATGCTGCACAGATTGTAGGATTTCTGTGTATTGACATTCGGTAGTGGCACTGATGTAGTGTTCTGTGAAAAGGAATGAATTTTTTCTTTTGTTAGATTTCTATGAGAAAAAGTTTTGGGAGAAAAATCTTGATTTGATTGCCCATTCTTTTGGGGTAGAGAAACTGCAGGAGTGTTCTCTGCTATGGTTACCACCTATGCTCGGCACCTTAAACATTCAAGCTTCTTTATGAAAATGTTTACTGTCTATTCTTGAAAGGTAAAGGCTCCAGACTGCGAAAGATGAGCACCAGCGTTGGCAGCTTCAAGAACAGTTCTTCTTTTCCTATCATCTTTTGTTATCATGGTGAACTCCGCGACAATATGCGGTTAGGCATACGCAGTAACGGCTTTAGCCGTACCTTTTACAATCCAGGATGACTAACCCACATTGGGTTTGCTCCGATGTGTCGCCTGAACTAGCGTCTTGCTCGCATTTCATTTTTACCGAAAGAACATTTCAGCAGTCGGTAGGATATCAGCTATGGCTCCAGTCCAGAAAATGTATAATGTAGTCTTCGTGTTAGGTCCTCCAGGCTCAGGCAAAGGAACTCAGTGCGTGAAGATACACGAGGTTTGGGAATTTCCACGATTATTTATACGATTTGGAGATCATCTCCACTTTCAGAATCTTGGTTTTATGCATTTATCAGCCGGTGATCTTTTGCGTGCCGAACGACAACGAAAAGGATCACAGTTTGGAGAGTTGATAGAAAATCATATAAAGAACGGAACGATTGTACCAGTCGAAATCACCTGCAAGCTATTAGAAAATGTGAGTTGTATTGCCCGATACTCACCCATTTTAGAACTATCAGCGTGTGTCTTTTTTGATACCCCCTCAGATTAGTTTACTTTCCTCTGAACAAAACAAAATCATGAAGGCCGCGACTGTCATCTGGAGCTAAACTTTTTTACGTGCTTTCATATCACAGTGCTTCAGCCAAAGCTTTGGGATTCATAACAACAACATTATCCCTATTTCAGAGGCTGTGTCATTTCAAAGATCGTTGAAAACAAGTGCGTAAGTGTTACAGGCAATGGATGCAGCAGGTGACGCAAAAGGTTTTCTCATCGATGGATTTCCCCGTAATCAAAACAATCTTGAAGGATGGAATCAACAGATGAGCGGAAAAGTGAGAAGTTACCCATTTGTCCCATTTATTATGTTGGTTCAAACGTTCCATTTTTTGCACCAGTGAACAAATACTCAAGCAGTTTCCAATGCAGAACTTCTTCCTTTTTCAGCAGCTATGCTTGCAAAGTCATTCCTTGACAGCGCTGAGATAGTCGCCAAAGTTCAAAATCTGTCCTTATTCAAATTTTGCTGATTTTCGGGATTTTTTTGACATTGAAGGAGCTATATAACCAGCAGATGGGGCAAACCTTTTGCAAGATGCAATTGATTGTACTTTTATACCTTGTTTCATAGGATTTCTGAATTATGTTGCTTTTTTTTGTGACCAAGTTTCATATAAGGGCCATCAAAACTCGTAAAATATGAAGTGGCAAATAGTGCAAGAACCAGCTGGTAAACAGTACGGGGGCCACCCGGTACAATTTTCCTCTCTTTTGACTGCGGTTTTACCCCTAAATTCCAAATTTACTAAGCGTTAATCGCTCAATTAATTTGTCAGGTTCGTGATTATAATGGTCCGGTTTTGAAACCTCAACATTCTGGAGATTCTTTGGCGCATTTATATGTGTGCCATTTTTTCGACGTCGAAATTGAGTAAAATTTCTAAAAATCTGGCCGGAGAAAAACACAAAGAGTTGTTTTGTTTGGCAAAAGATCTGCCGTATCTGCCGCTTAGCAGAGCTTCAAGAATAAATTTTGAAAATTATTGAAGATAGACAAGGTTCCACCCGCAAACCAAACCCCGTAGAATATTGATAAGTGCATCAAACTGTACCCTTTGCAGAATAGGTTTCTCTAGCGTTGTTAAATTACGAAGTGATTCAAAGCGATAGCTCTCGGTAGACGAATCACTTCATAGTCTAACTGCTAGAGGAAACAAATCTGCAAGGATACAATTTGCTGTACTTGCTTGTCAATATTCTACGAGATCTACGGGTAGCTCCAAAAGGAAAACGGAAAAACTTTTGCACCGTCCCCGTATTCCCCAGCCATTGAATTTTTGCATTTTTCAATTAGCACTAAGTTTACTTACTGTGGACATGACCGTTTTGTTGATTAAGGCGGATGTGAAGTTCGTACTGTTTCTCTCCTGTCCTGTGGATATATGCATCAATCGGTGTTTGCACAGAGGTAACTGTTATCAAGCCATTTAGATTCGATTACTGCTGCAATTTCTGGTTTTCCTAGGTCAAGGACGTAGTGATGACAATGAGGAATCATTACGGAAGCGAATCGAAACATATAACAAAGAAACACTCCCAATAATTCAACATTACGAGAAGCTAGGTCTGGTAAAGGAAGTGCCCAGTGATAAGAATCCTGATGAGGTCCGCTCAAAGACTTTTTGCTTGTACCGAAAATACTTCATGATGCTTTGTTCAGGTTTACGCAGGAGTTGTAGAAGCATTCAAAAGCGCTGGATTCTAGCTAAACCTCGAAAGTCTCTAAAATAACCGTTCTTGCATAGGAGGAACAAAAGATAGTCACAATGTTTTTATTAATTCTATGTATCCGAAGATATGAACCGTGAATATCTCCGTCTATAACAGCAATAACCAATAAAACAATAAACTGACTCGTATTCAACGTCAGCTTATATCCGGTTGCACGGCCCAGCTTGGCATTGGTGTGCTATAGCTCCACTTTTCCGTTGAATATTTGAGACAGTGCAAAAATAGTTGGAAATGCTCTCTCGGAACCTAGGCACTCCATACAAAACTGGAATGATGGAAGTATACTGTTGAATGACTAACCTGCTTTTTCACAACGTTACAGTTTAGGCAGATAGGGTCGTATGATGGTCGATCTTTGCTATCATATTCGTAAGGTTCTGGTTGCAGCTTAAATGTAACAGATGGGGACTGGTATACAAAGAATGAAAAGTGATAATTTCATTTTGATAGATGTCGACCTTTCTCATGTAACCTGTATTTTAAATCTTCTCTAATCTTTGAGTATCTTTTGAAGGTAGAAAACTCCACTTATTTTCTTACTTCTTGTTCGCGTTAGTTTCCCTTCATAGGGGGAGAACATTGTAAATGCTACTTTTATGCTATTGCAGATAGTTGTTCTGTATCGTCTGATGAACTTCAAAGTACACGGGATGGGAAGACATTTTCAACTTATATATTTTGAAAAATCAGAAACATCTTTCTAAGTGTTGATAGTCATTTGGATCAAGATATAGAACACGAAAAAAAGAATACAAATGAATGAGTTGAATGTAATAAATCAATGGAAGCTAGCAACCCACTTCTTCGCTGGCCATCCTTTCCATTCTCGACTCATATTCTGGATCTACGGTCTCATGCCAGTTAGAACCGCGATGAGCTTCTCGTACATCAACACATAACTTAACAGTGCTGAATCAAAGTAATAAATGAAGATGAACGAAACTGCTCAAAATACCTGTTCATAAGATTTCCCGTATTCTGCTCCTTTTCCCTTCTGTGGTCCCCAAACAGAGGAGTTATAAATGCGATCACCGACAATAGGATATCCTACAAAATACACTTTCACTAAATTCCCAAGTGGTTTCGATTACTGCAAAATGGAACCTAAATATTGAGCGTGTACACGTATTTGATGAGTTCGACCAGTGTAAAGATTTACAGAAACCACTGAGTGCTTTCCGTCAGACCATAACTTCTTGAATCTACTTCGAGCTTGTTTGCCATCTGGGCGAACACATTGAATGCCCATACTGATGACTAGAGTGCCAATAGGTTCGTTACACTCTAGTTCCTCGCTGTAAGATGAGCTGGTGATAGTTATAGCCAAACACTCATGATAACCAATTCAACTTACTCTGGGAAAACACCCTCGACTTTGCAAACATACTCTTTCGACCAATTTCCATCCTTCAGTGTCTTCTTGAACTGAATAAAAGACATGGCCTCAATTTTGATCTGAAAATCTGCTTACCTCGAGATCTGTTTCGTAGTTCTTGGCAAACAGTAGAACACCTGACGTTGTTCTGTCAAGACGATGTAAAACTAGAAGAATACGCGTGATTTTCTTGGGTGAGAATGATGGCGAAAAGTTTTACCCCTCAACCCTGTCCGATTGTGGTTGACTCGTAACTGACCCAAAACGGTATGTACGGCATACTGACCGCAGGCATGTACAGGCAGTGAGGGAGGTTTATCAACCACCAGTAAATCATCTGTTTCAGCAATTACATTCACAGGCAGATCGAGCACCGAAACGGGTTATGATGATCGATAGTCAAATGAGCGATAACAATAAGAAGCGGCACAAGAAAGGTCATTCAAACGCATAAGAACGCAGGTGGTAATCATTTTTGAAACCACTTCTTACTGCAGCAGCAGTATGGGCGAGGCGGAGGAGTTTGCGTGCTTTCATTAGTGTTAACATTGCATGCTCTAAGTGAAATGCAAAAAAGATGGAAGGAAGAAACGTGAGACGGAGTATGAGAGAAAGCAATGAAGATCAGTTCCGTTCAAAGAAAAAACAATGCACATTGTACTTGAACGAAATTCCCAAGTCAAATAGCAATAGAATCTTGATTTTAGTATACCGTCAATTTAAGACTGAAAACTACATACAGTCTGTATCAACCATGTACTTCCTTTCTCGTGGCAACTACGCATACGCAGCGCGTGAGCATCTCCAATCGATGCGACTTTGAACGCTCTAGCGGTAACCTGCGAGTTGTGCTGGTATGAAAGGGAGCACATCGTTGACACAGACTGTACGAAATTCTGAATCATATCAAGGCTCTGCGCCATACGTGTGCAAAGGGGGAACATGGCCTCTCCAGGGTGAAAGGGGTCATAGGGGTCCCGCCTCTCCAGGGTGAAGGGGGTATGAGGGCCGTCGGGGGGGGGGGGGGGTTTAAGGGAGCGGCCACCGCTATAAAGGTGCGTCAACCCGGGGGGGGGGGGGGGTTATATTCGTCATCATTGCTCCTCATATTCTTTTGATTCACATGCATCAAGTGAAATTGTAGCCAAACCAGATTAAAGTCGAATATTGGGTTTTATCCGCTGAAACTCGGAGAAGAAATACTGGAAGAAGTGAGATTAAGAAATCAACATTTCAAGCAAAATTATGAAACTATCGACATTATTGCATTTAAGTTTAGTGACATGTTGATCCTAAATATTATTATGATGATTGTCAAAACTTATTTGCAGATTCACTGAAAAGTACGTCGGAAACGTGCCACTGTTGTTCACTTCTGGAGAAAAATTTTCGTGTGAAGCCTTCGCGTATATATGTTAGTGAAGTTACTCACGTATTAGCTGAAACAATAAGTGAAATAATAAATGAACTTTGATGATAGTTGCGCAGTTGAATTGCATTCTTTTGAAGAGGAATAATTTTTTAAGCAGATGACGGGATCCGTGAAAAGTCATTGAATGATTCCGGGAATCAGGAGGAAAACTCCATAATTAGCCTACTCTAGTTTAGAAGTTTAGTTTCCATCTGCTTTCAAAAGACATACAGCTTGCCAGGAGGAAGAGGGATTTAATCCTGCCAGGAAGAGATAGTTTTAGTCATTCTTTCAAAATCAAATGCTTCTTCTATAAAAAATTGTAACCTTTTTATATGGGAAGATAGGAGAGTTAGCCATACACTGAATTACTTTTGTTGAAGGCTTTCAGAAAATATATAGCTTGCCAGGAAAGAAAGGATTTTCCTGTAAGGTGAAGGTGGTCGTGATTGTTCTTCCAGGATTAAGGAAATTTTTTTTATAAAATTCATAACTTTATTATATGAAAAGCTAGAAGAGTCTTTTGCACTCTATTGGAATCCTCTCCTCGTCCACTTTCTGAAAATATGTAGGTTGCCAGGAAAAAAGGGGATTTTCCTATCGGGTGAAAGGGGTGGTAGTTGTTTTTCCGGAATTAAGCCAATTTTTAATTTAAAAGAATTATAACATTTTTATATGAGAAGCTGGGAGAGAATCTAGGTGTTCATTGAATTCCGCTCGTCGTCCGCTTTCAGAAAATATATAGGTTGTGGGGAGAAGGATGCTAAAAGTACGTGGTGGAAGGGGGAGGAACATGGTATAATGGAAATGTTCCTTTAGCTAATTAAAACGACGTTTTTGGAGTACAGAAAGGAACATTTCCATTATACCATGTTCCTCCCCCTTCCACCACGCACTTTTAGCATCCTTCTCCCCACAACCTATATATTTTCTGAAAGCGGACGACGAGCGGAATTCAATGAACACCTAAATTCTCTCCCAGCTTCTCATATAAAAGTGTTATATTTATTTTAAATTAAAAATTGGCTTAATTCCGGAAAAACAACTACCACCCCTTTCACCCGATAGGAAAATCCCCTTTTTTCCTGGCAACCTATATATTTTCAGAAAGCGGACGAGGAGAGGATTCCAGTAGGATGCAAAAGACTCTTCTAGCTTTTCATATAATAAAGTTATGAATTTTATAAAAAAAATTTCCTTAATCCTGGAAGAACAATTACGACCACCCTTACCCTACAGGAAAACCCTTTCTTTCATGGCAAGCTATATATTTTCTGAAAGCTTTCAACAAGAGTAATTCAGTGTATGGCTAACTCTCCTATCTTCCCATATAAAAAGGTTACAATTTTTCATAGAAAAAGCATTTGATTTTGAAAGAATGACTAAAACTATCTCTTCCTGGCAGGATTAAATCCCTCTTCCTCCTGGCAAGCTGTATGTCTTTTGAAAGCAGATGGAAACTAGACTTCTAAATCAGTGTAGGCTAATTATGGAGTTTTCCTCCTGATTCCCGGAATCATTCAATGACTTTTCACGGATTCCGTCATCTGCTTAAAAAATTATTCCTCTTCAAAAGAATGCAATTCAACTGCGCAACTATCATCAAAGTTCATATATTATTTCACTTATTGTTTCAGCAAATACGTGAGTAATTTCACCAACATATATACACTAAGGCTTCACACGTAAATTTTCTCCAGAAGTGAACAACAGCGGCACTTTCCGACGTACTTTTCAGTGAACCTGCAAATAAGTTTTGACAATCATCATAATAATATTTAGGATCAACATGTAACTAAATTTAAATGCAAAAATGTCGATGGTTTTATAATTTGCTTAAAAAGTTGATTTCTTAGTCTCACTTTCTCCAGTTCCTCATCGGCCGTGGGTGAAGGGGGGTCAGCTGGGTTCTGGCCCAGGGGTGAAGGGGGTAGGAATACATTGCTCCACAAACCCATCGATTTTTTGTGAACTGCAAAAAGGATTTTCCCAAAGGGATGAAGGTCGAGAAGCACAAATTTATGGCTTTCTTGCAAAAAAGTAATTACATCTTCGAACTGTGATTGTAACAAAACTGCCATACTTTGAACTTACTCCATCACAAACACATTACAAGGAAAAGATGGAACGGCAAATATAGTCGAATCAATAAGTTGTTGAAATCGCTCGTGACATCAACGCTGTCAAGTTATACTCCAAGCTTAGAGCATCACCTTTTATGCAATCAAAATATGTTTGTTGCTGGCATTATTAATTGAAACCCAACTCGATTATCCACGGGAATAGCATAACAAAAGGAATGACACGAAACGAGTTTCTTGGATAAGTAGTCATAGGAGCAAGGTGGCGATGGTGTCCAAAGATAACTTTTCAGTTGATTGACAAAAGAAAAACTGTGAAATAGGTTATCTCGCAACGTAATTGGTTCTTTTATCCCAACTAGACCACAGCTGTTTGTGTTAATACACCCACACTTCCCTTATCGATATGAGGCAACTTTTTTGCAAGCGCCTCCACTTACTAACGCAAATCACGAACTCTACTACATGCTAAAAACGAGTACAAGAGAAAAGGAACATACTGGATGTTCATGTCGATGTCCCCAATGATGTATAGAGTCACCATTCTTGAGTACGTAATTCACATCCAGCATCATCTTGCCATTCACATACATTCGTCCCAACTTGCATGCGATTTTCTAAACAAATCAATTGAAATTTCTTATTGTTAGAACTAATGACTGGAGTTGTGATTGGATAAAATTATTCACTCAGATGAGCTTTATTTACTTCGTAGAAAACAGGTGAAAGTGATTGCTCAAAATCTGATCATGTCCCTCACGACATATTAAGGCAAACCTATTCACATGAGAGCCCTTGAAGCTCTTAAGGGTTATTCGTGGCGGAGGAGTGAGCCTTCGTCACAGCTCTTCGACAACATCAACATCTTGTCGTATAATTCATTCATATATAAAAGCTAGGAGACCTCATTTCATGTCAATTCAACACCACCTTGCTTTTGCCACCATGTTAATTACTACAAATTACCGCCTGCATGTTAATTCCTTCGCTCATCATGTATGCGAGCCACAACATAGCTACTTGGCTCAATCTTCCCACATTTCGGCCCGTCAATCTACGACTTCTTATTTATTTTTCATTTCAAACAGCAAATTTCAGCAACATACAAAAGTGCTCATATCATATTCTTTCAAAAGAGCAAGAGTGCTATGGATAATATGCGTTTCGCTGGCCTTTAGAGTTAATTTGTTTCAAAGATTTTGCGAAGTTCTCATATCTACTTCATACGTGAAAAACGGCGCTCACAATTACAGACTGAACGAAAACACGATCTCAGTAAATACCAATAATGCTGCGCTGTGAGAGAGATATTAGCAATGTAAATTCTTCAGTCAGAACAAAACCACTCGCATGAACAGTATGATGTAAAGAACATAAAACGAAAAACGAATTAATCCAAATGTAATACTGGATTACCTGGCATCTTACATTCTCAACTGCCCACAGCCTGATTTTGCACTTACCTCATATTAGCAATCCATGTACCTCTTACATTGCTCCTCTTTGAGCTTGCCTACACTGCCTCTTTCTCATAGGCTATTCTCCTCAATTGTTGATGGAAACGAGATGAACAGGAAACAGTCATGACATATTCAACCGTACTTTCACCCTCAAAACTTGCAGACATGACATTGGGACATACAGTCTATCCCAATCGCGACCGAGCACCTGATTGGGATAGGGACAGACTGTACAGCCATAGCTTTACAAGAAGTACAAGAAGGATTGACGGATAAGGAAATCACACCCAAGCGTTCCAAGTCAAATCATAAAGCAGCTCCATTCAAGAATGTTTTCGATATCTCATTTGAAAGAGGTCTGGAAAGATTATTCTACCGAAGAGAAACCATCACTGTCAGCATTTTTTTGCTGACATTAAAATTGCAAATGAGCTCCCTCATGAACGATGTTCAAAAGCTGATCAAGTTTACCATTACTCTCTTTGTGACGACGCTAGAAAGGACCCCGCTCAGAAATGAACATGCTTGTTTCGTTCGTAAAGCTTAAGGGTCCCATCCACATCCGGCCATCTAATCCCTACCAAATTTGCGCAGCTCTTCCCAAGATAATTACTCTTTGGTCCCACAAACGTGTAGAACGTTTTTGTTGGCAAACGAGGGCTACGAGTATAGATTTCTGCGTGCTTTTGTTCGACTGCTTCTCAACTATGGTAGCATACGAGACCCCCACAGACTCATTTTCCCTTTGCCACTTCTCAGAACAGACGAGACCTGAACTTTCAGCTTGTGATGTTTTCTTCTCTTCTCTTAATGTTAAATTAGGAGATTTCTTTTACCGTACTAGAATGCGGCACTTTGGTATGAGATAGATTGAAAAATAAATAAAAGTAAAAAAGCGACCAAGAATTTGCGGGGAAATCGTGATAGAAGTTTTGACAAAATTGAAAATCACAACTGAAGATCTGAATCAGCACGTGATTAACCTACCGGATAATTCTTGTTGAGAGAGAGAAACTCTTGAGCAAAGACATCAACCATTTTCCGCCCAATCCATCGCCCCTTTGTTCTCGTGCGATACACAGCCCAGTAAGGTGCGAGATAACGGATGCCTGCAGCATTTTGTTTTAAGAAAAAACAACCACAAAGAAGATATTGACGAAACGTGGTCATACACTCCATACAAGTTCCTACTGAAAAACGCTATCAAAACTCCTCACCGTCACGAACTTCCGTAGCAAGATTCATCGGTAGATCCAAATCTGATATGTTTCGAGCTGATTCATCTACTGTTGATCGTTTCTTCTTGCACGAAACCTGTCATGAACAAGTCATCCGAGGTTTTGTTCTTTTTGACGCTTTTGGGCAGACTATCTGTAGAGATTGAAATGAAGGATCAGTTTTGAGACTCTACCAGCAGTCGAATAAATTCGGATTTCGAGTTACTTCGGCAGGCCCATATTCAAAACAGATAGTCAATGCAGTTGTGGCATGCGCCATACTGATGAACTTGATCCGCTTCAACCACTTCGCTATTGGTCATTCCCCTGATGTGTCCAATATCGAAGTGGATGAAGTGGGTCAAGTGGGTCAAGTGGATCAAGTATGGCGTGCGCCTGTGTTACCGAAAAGATTTCGGTGCCAAGCGATTCATGAACGATTGGCAATCCCTTACACAAATGTAAAGCATAGACATAAATAGACAACAGCTGAACATAGAAGCGATTTTCCCCAGTATTATGGAAGTTTTCCCCGTTAATAGAAATCACTTTCATTCATAAAAAGCAACTTTGTGATCTTTGTGCAAAATGCTAATACCAGGCCCACACAGGATTAGTAGTTTGTTTATGTTTCGATGAGAATCTCTTACCTCCTCCTCGGCGAGAGTCTCTGCGTCGCTCCTTCTCTTTCGGTTCTTAGTCTTGGGGAACTCCTTGAGAGATGTCGTATTAGTCGGTGATAGCTCTCTGTCTTCAGAAGGCATTTGCCCTATGTTAGTAAAGCGTGTTTGAACTAGAATACACCGGAAATGAGCAAAAATTAGATGGAAAACCTACGGATGGGCAAAATATAAAGGTTTTTTCAAAAATTTGAACGAATAAAAATGGAGCTCCTTTTGCTGCTTGGAGCGCATTTTTCCGCGCCATAAGTGTTACCCTTTGCTAATTTTTCGTAGATCGAGTTCGATAGTGAAAAGCTCGAAATATTGTGGTGCGAATGAAAGAATTGTTTGATAGGGTAGTTATTTGAAAGTCTAAAAGGCAGGCATTCTTACCTATGCGCACTTTCCATGACGTAGGGAAAAATGGTATTGAGCGCAGTAAGTGTTTGGAAATAAATTATCATAAACGAAGCTATATCATGCATCAGACTGCATGGAAGAGTAAGGTGTGCGTTTTCTAGAGAACAACTTTGACAACCGTCTGCTTTCAGCTTACCAAATTTGACGATTGATATGGTGTTTCAGTGTTGCCGACAACATTCGCCCGTTAACAGTCACCATGTGCGCGTATAGGCAGCAGGGTCAAGCGTGTGATGCGACTGTCGCAACGGGGGGTCGTAAAGAGGGCCTACGGTGAGGGGGGGAGGTCGTAAGAAGGGATAGTTTGGATAAAAAACCGTACGATTGAAAGCAAATCAAATAGCAAGTAATTATTACATGTTCTTAACAATAAATTCATGGAATGCCGTGTACCAATGTATCAAATAAAAACGAGTGAACAATAATTTAAAAATATTTGCAAGCGTAGAAATTCGCTTCATTTGCTGCACTTTTGAAAGATTATGACTTAGTTTTTTTTATGGGAATCGCTATTTCTCCCGCAAAATATTGTCTCAAACGGGAATCGAACCCAGCTGGCATGACTAAAATCCAAAAAATAAACACTTTCAGAAGCTCAAATGCTACTAAAGGCATGTATGTGTGATAAAGATGTTGGATGTACCGATTGATGTAGACATCCTGCTTCCGAAGGCTCACTGAAGACTCGCACACTCGACAAAAGCGCATATCTCTAACAACGCTAATCATCAATAATTTGTAAATCTTTTTGAAATGCTTTTCATACGGACCTTACAATTTATGTGTAATTTAGATAAGCCCTGCTACTGCTGTGCGAAATCTGGTGTTATTTTATAAACTGCGGATTTTCTTGTGATTTTATGTATGTTAGCAAAAAATGAGAAAAGGGGGTCGTATCTGCGCCTGATCTAAATTTCTGCGGAGCTATTGAAGCTTGTTAGCTGCAAACTTGCTGTAATACGAGGCCATCCCTCTAGTTTTCATCATAGGAATTTCAGGCTGTTTTATAACTTCTCTGGTAAGTTACAAAATTTTAAGCTCAAAAATCCCAGTTTTTGCTTTTTAGGATCGCATCTAAACTTGCGAGAGCCTGATCTAAATTTTTTCGAGCTCACTGCTCCTCGAGGGCTGAAACTTTTTCTATGGATATTCTAGGCACTATGCTACAAAGCCTGTGCTTTGCAGCCTCTCAGTCTTTTACTAGCCTTAGTTACGAATTTTCAAACTCCCGTGCTCATGCACAATTTTGACGTCGTTCTGGACGGCGCTAAAGCGTTTTTTTTTGCAGGAAAAACTGCGGAAGAGGTAAGAACTGAGCTTCTTCTTAGTCGAAAATATCTTGTAGTTCAAGAATGTCATTTTGTTCTCCGTGTAAAAATTTGTGTCGCATACGGGAATCGAATTTGCTAGCCTGAAGTATGCCTGAAAATTCAAAAGTAAACTTGCAGAATCTCAAACATTATTTAAGGTGTGTATATGTGCTAGAGATGCTGGGCGCACCCATTGGCCTAGAAATTCTGCTTCCGAAACCTCACTGAAGTTCTCACGCAGGTATTTTTTGAGATTGACATTCGTTTATGCAGGTTACCGCGAGAAATGCGGGCAGGGGAGGTAAGGGGGATAGATGGGGGAGGGGGAAGGGGGGGGGGGGGGAGGGGGGAAGGTACGTATGGGTACCTTCAAGGGGGGAGGGTCGTAAATGAGGGTCCAGGATCGCATCAACACGCTTGACCCTGATAGGCAGTGTTCCTGCAGATTTTGCATTTCCACCTTTCAGCATCTTTTGAGCTTTTTTGACTCGTAGAATCCAAATTTCAGCTTTGAATGGGGTGAAAAGACCGATTTTGGGGCGTCTACCCAATTGCCAAAATGCAGCTCGGAGGAGAGATCTAATGGAAAGTTGGGAGGGAAGGCACGAAGGCCCTACCTGTAATCTTTGCTTTGTATAGCATACACAATGCGAGGGCGGTCTTGGGTCTCGTGCCGAACAGGTACGAGTTCAGTCAATCAATTTAGAATGTCTCATTTTCTGACTGTATATTACTAAAACACTATTTTTATTTTTATCCAGTTTAGTTACATGGGCAAGCTCACGTGAGCATAAAACAAAAAGTCAAATTCTTCCTCATATTCCTTTTCATCTTATATATAAAGCTGAATGTCTGTTTGTCTGTCTGTCTGTATGTCTGTCTGTCTGTCTGTCTGTCTGTCTGTCTGTCTCTATGTCTGTACGTATGTTCCGAATAGAAAATTCCATTTCTGAATCGATCCGGACCAAACTTGGCACACATACACTACGGGCCCCGGCGGGTGTCATAGGCTACTTTTCGTCATCGATCGATATCGATTTTATCGATTTCTTGCAAAATTTGAGCTACGGGGCTGGGAGTTGGCACAGGGGGGTAATCGAGCATGCTGATCACCCCCGTGGGGGTGATCAGCATGCTCGATTACACCCCTCTGCCAAATTCCAGCCCCCTAGCTCAAATTTTGCAAAATGGATGAGAGATGGAATTTTCTATTTGGAATATACGGCGGAGCCGGGTAAGCCAGCTAGTTCTAAATAATACAGTCTTACTTGGCCTAGTTGAGTTCCTGCGCTCAAAAAGGTCTGACGATTTCATTCGACAGCCTCCGAATAATATTTTAATGCCATCAAAAGATCAAACTTTCGTCGTCTGACGCTCAGACTTTCCAACCCCAACCTTTTATTGGGAATGTTGAAGTCCGGTAACTGATGTATACAAACCTGGCCTTACGTATTGGCAATTTCCTGCCGAAGCTGTTTTGAACTTTCTCTATCCGGTGGGAACGTACGTATTTTCTGGAAATTATCAATACCGTAGAGGCAATAAGAGGAGGAATGAATCATGAACTATGGGTGGGCCGCATCGAAATTTTTCCGGAATTCTAAAAAAAATTGAAAGTTACTTCCAGGGTTATAAAAATGTGCAAGTGACTTGTTTATACTTGTGAATAATTTGAATAATTTTTGGAATTTTTCAAAAGTTTAAAGTAGCTTTTTTGAAGTTCGGGGTTATGGGCCTGCAAAAACTCTGAAAAGCATCCCAAGAAATATTTCGGAGTGTGGATGTGGATGACACAACTTTCTTCGAGGTTATTTTGTGCCATACTCCAGACGGAACTGCTGCGACATCCAGTGCTACTCAGGGCCCGGCACAAGGTGGGCAAACGGGGTTTTCCAAAACGAATACCCCTTTGATCCCAGTAAGTTTTACGAATACTCCCTTGAGCCCAAAAATGACGTTTTGTGTTTGTGCGACAAGATTACCGGCCACACTTCGCATAAAAGCGCTCAAAAGCGCCCAAATTGCTCAAATTCCTCATATTACTCAAATTGCTGTACCAAGATAGGAAACAGGAAGAAAAATAAGCAGTAAAAAGGATTAGGGAATGAGAAAATATCAAAGAAACGCAGTCATAGGAATGAGAGACGCCGTTCCCGCGCGTATCGATTGACTGGGGCGCGCTTTCTATCTTAGAAAGCTGGGCTGCTGATGCCATTTTGGGCTCCAACAAGGACAAGAGGAGGAGTTTCGGAACCAAAATTTCACCATGTAGTAAACTTTAGGTGTACAACAGATTTATGTAAAAATTTTGAGAAAATTATGTAAATTGAGAGTTTTGCCGACCTCAGGTGGGAATTAGGTCGGCAAATGCCGACCTAATTTGGAAATAAGTTAAGGAAACTCTTCATTCACATAAGTTTTTCATAATATTTCATACTTTATTACTTAGTCCTATTGCGCATATACACACCGAAGCCCGCGCGATTTCGTTACCTCTGCGTTGCAAACGAGCCATTTTTCCATTTCTTTGGTAGCGCAAAATTTCCAGAAAAAAGTTTGCCACAAACTTCAGTCACATAATTTCTCAATGAAACTCCTCAGTTAAGTCCTGCAAGCCCGTGTGCATGTACTTACCAAGTTTCATACCATATCGTTCATCTGCGCTTTCCAAACGAGCCGTTTAAATTCACATTTTCATTTACCAGTTTTGCGAAATTCTCGGAAAAAATGCTAATTACTCGTTCCGTTCACATAAGTTTTTCATAATTTTTCATACTATGTTTCCACTAGCCTCTGTCCGTTCGCACACAAAATTTGGTGCCATATCGTTACACACACATTGAGAACTAGTCATGTATGCAGTTACAAATAGCATCGCTTGGGCGACGTCGCGCGTGCGGCACTTAGCGACGGCGCGGTTTGACGCGCGCGAACTCCAGTGTTCGCCTGTTGAGGCACATAACATGTCAAGATAAGTAGCGAGCATGAACTACCAATTTTTTTTCCGGGGCTCTGCCCCGGACCCCGCAAAAACGATTTCCCCTTTGCTTTTTGGCCCCAGAACGATTTCCAGCTTGTCATTTGCCGACATCGTGCCGGGCCCTGGTGCTACTTCGTCGGCTTTTCGCGAGATGTGATGTCTATTTTTACCTAGCAAAAATACGAAAAAGCATTTGGATCTATTTCCAGCTGTTAAAACATTCCTAATTTTTTAGTTCAAAAAAGGAGGTGTATGGCTACTGGAACTGATAGCGGTTTTTGAGCTCAGTTTTTTGATACAGCCATTTTCACGAGATTTTTTTGAACTGCTTAGGGATCGGACCGTATGGTCTGCGCTGCTTCGTGCGCTCACGCAAAAGCAGCGATTTCATGCTTTAATGTCCCGCAGGGACACTTTATAAACCGTCACCACTTCTAAAGGTTTTCTGCTTTCTTTTGT